ATTCAACCCGTTAATAAACTGTATAAGTGCACCTACCTTATCTTATATCTTCTTGTTACTGTAATTTTCTTTGTTATCCATTCAACCCGTTAATAAACTGTATAAGTGCACTTACCTTATCTCCCATTATCTTATATCTTCTTGTTACTGTAGTTTTCTTTGTTATCCATTCAACCCATCAATAAACTGTATAAGTGCACCTACCTTATCTCCCATTATCTTACATCTTCTAACTGAAGAAAGTTTCTGTAGCTTTCAAACAGATATAAGTTAACACACTTTCCCAATTTACAACAAAAAGTTGTTGGCTAGTTTTGTCCTACATATTGTGTAAATTACCTGAATATTTTTTTCATTGTGCGGAGTAATACAATTTTTCAAAACACATGCAAAAATTAATACATAAGACCTTGTGAACAATACTGATGTCCAATTAAAAAATATAAAACAGAGAAAAGTCAAAGCTCGCTAGAGGGAGTACTTATGTTAAATATCTTTCAAAAACAATATGCATGTTTCAAAATTATGTTAAATGTTGTTAGAGATCCATACTTTGAGGAAATGTTACTCAAAACAGAAGTGATACAGGATGTTTTGTGTGTGAGTGTGTATGTATATATGGTAGTAGGGGGTCCAATTAGACTTCTACTAGCACTACTGAAAAATATATACATTACTTTTGTTGTATTTTTAACTTATAACTACTCACACACACTACTAGTAACTTTAGTAATAAAATTTACTAAAAAGCCTACAAAATCGTTATGAGTAGCTCAGTTGGGTTATAATCCAATGTGAAAATAAAAACATTAAATAAAAATAAAATAAAACGTAATTGCCTATATTTCAGCTTCATGAAATCACAGGACTAGTGATCTAAACACATAATGAAAGCTCTTCGTATGTTATTTTCAACAGTACAAGCCATTACAGATTCCAGCTCAAAAGACTTGCATTAAGATCTGAACAAAGAGATAAAAGTTTAGGTTTGCAATATTTTGCTAGAAGAAAATATACTGGTAAAATATTTTATAATGAATTTGAATTATAACCTTGCAGTATGATAAGAAATATTTTTAGGCTTAGTTAGATAAATTTGCACTCATAAGTATCAAGTTTTATTTTGCTGACAAGGTCCATGCTTTTTGGGCTTATCTACATTAGGCCTTATTGGCTTAAGTATCTCCTTGAATGTGCATACAAAATTATTGAAATGTACACTACACACACACACATGCATACATACATAAATTAGTATAAAATGGGTTGAAACTTACAAAATATA